ATTAGTGGGCTTGGCTGCTCCGCCGCGCAGCCGACCTCTCCGGCAGTCCCGGGGCGATAAGATAAGCGGGGGCGGGCCGAGGAGGGCAGCGCGGGCCGCTATAAAAGCGGCGGCCTCTGCAGGGCTCCCAGCTCCGCCGCCTCCTGGGACTTACAGAGCAACTCGACCTCCTGCCTGCTGCCAAGATGTTGCTGACTGCTGAGGAGTGCAAGCTGATCAAGAGCTACTGGGCCAAACTGGCCCCCGAGCACGAGGATATGGGCGGCGAAGCGCTGACCAGGTAGGCTCGACGGGGCGGCCAAGGGAGAGAAGCCCAGTCTGGTTCCTCCCGCCCCGTCCCTTTTCCTGACGGCCCCCTTCCCTCCCCGCAGGCTTTTCCAGGTCTACATGCAGTCCAAGATCTACTTCCCGCACTACGACCTGTGCCCCGGCTCCAACGACATTCACCACCAAGGGCAGAAGATCGTCGAGGCCCTCGACAACGCCATCAAGAACATCGACAACATCCGCGCCTGCCTGTCCGACCTCAGCGACCTGCACGCCTACAACCTCCGCGTGGACCCCGTCAACTTCAAGGCAAGCGCTCCGACGGGGCGGACGAGGGCCAGGAGGGGCGCGCCTTGGGTCTTCCCTCGACCCTCCCCCACCTGACCGACCCCCCACCTGACCCCCCGTGTCTCTCTTTCTCTCCTTTGCAGTTTCTGACCAGGTGCCTCCATGTGACACTGGCTTCCAGCCTCCGCGGAGAATACAACGCCCTGGCCTACATGGCCTTTGACAAGTTCTTCTGCCTGGTGAGCGAGGTGCTGACCGAGAAGTACAGATGAGCCCCCCGCTGCCCGCCCCCTCGCCTCGGAGCTGCCGTTTGCCCCCCGTCTCGGGCACTCCGCCTCCGCTGTGCCACTGAGCAATAAAATGCGTGAACCTCGCTCCGGCGTCCTTCACTTTTCTGGCGTGGGGAGGGGGTCCCATGCGTGGGAGACGCGGGGAGGGGTCTCAGGGGGAGCAGATACGCCAAGGGGGCGGAAAATCCTCAAGTGAGCATGACAGGGAAGAGGGTGGGGGAGACCGAGAAGAGACAGCCGCCGCCGCCTCGGCAGTTCTCCCGTCCACTTCCGAGGGAGCGCACGCCACAACCGCCTCCCCAACTCCCCCGTAGCCCCGTCCGTCCCGCAGGCACCTCCGAGAGGGGGGAGGGGAGGGAAGACGGAGTCCAGTGCCCGCTGAGACCCCTTTCTCCCCACCGCCACCCCACCAAGTCCTCCGCGTTCTTCGCTAAACCAACGCAGCGGAGCCCGGGCAGAAACTCGGCGGAGAGGGCTGCGGTCCCCTCACCCTCAGAGGCAGCCTGACCCGGCGGGGAGAGGGCTCTCCCGGGGATCCCGTCGAGGAGGGAGCCCTTACCCCCAGGTGTGCGAGTCTGCCCCCCCAACATCTGGGGAGGGCAGGAGAAGAGGAAGGCGGGGATGGGGCTGGCATGAAGGAGACCCCAGGCTCCTTGCTCTGCGGCTTCTACGGTTCTGATATTGCAGACTACAGAGGGTGAGGCTTGCCAACCCTTGGCCCTGTTTAAAAGAGCGAAGTCCTCTATGCACATTTTCTGCTTTTTGCTGCCCTGAGGCACCTGGGAATAAGCATCCTTTTATGGGGGGGGGTAAGGATTATCGGATGCTTTCAGAGTGGACACAACGAAGTTATCGCGCGGGGAAGCGCCTGGCCGCTGCCTGTTAAAAGTTGTTTTTAAGAATACGAATAAAATAAGGAAAGAACTAAGAAAGGTCGTCGGGGCGACCGCCGCCTGCTCAAGTGGGGCCCCGAAGCCCACACCTGTCCCGGGACGGAGGCGCCCGCCCTCCCAGCCGTGGGGCCAGGACTCCGCCCCCCAAGTGGGGGAGGGAACTGCCAGCCGCCCTACAACACCCGTAACCCCCCCGCCCCCGCCGGGCCCTTGACATGGAGCAGCATGACTCCTTCGGTGGGCGAGAGGGCCGCCCGTCCTTCCCGCCAGAGCTGCTCCAGAGCACTTTGCACATGCTCACGTGCACTCGCCCCACCGCCGTCTAGAAAAACTCTCCCTCTCCGAGGGGACGGCACTCTGCACCTGCTCAGAGGCACTCCCGCCTTGGCTCCGCATGGGCCCGCCCGCACGAACAGCCCTCCCCTCCCCTGGGGCTGACGCTTGTGGGGCGGGGAGTTGCAGGGTGCAGGGTGCGCCTGTCTCCGGCCTTTGTGCTTTGACGGGGCCAAGTTCTCACGTCCCAGGGACCCTCACACACGTGTCATCTTTAATGGCGTTATGCAACGTCAAGTTAGACACCCTCCTCTGGAGCTCAGGCGCAAAACACCGAAGGAGAGCAGCACAGGGTACCGAGCCGAGGGGACGCAAAATAACGATGATGATGATGATGATAATGATGATGATTTATTGAATTTATATCCCGCCCTATACCCAGAGGCCTCAGGGCGGTTCACAGAAAAGATCAACATACAAACCACAATATATATAATCAAAATAAAAACAACCCAATAATACCCTCCCAAAATCAGAATGAATGAATGAAGTTTTTGTAATGTAATTTTCAGTGAGCCTATTGAGAAGATCCGTAAAAAAGCGGCTGTCCCAAAAGGAATTATTGTGAAAATAATATATATTTAGGGGACAGTGGGCTACTCCGCAAGCGGGTTGTGAGGACTATCCGGAGCAGGCATGGGCCCTCCCAGGCAGAGCACGGTTCACAGACTCTGGAGTGCCTGTTTGGGGGCCGAGAGGAATGTGGGGGGCAGCTGTAATCCTCCCCTGGTCTTGCGCGGGGGGCGCATCCCCAGCAACGGTGACGGGGATGGGCGCTGCTGGACGGCCACGGGCCACGCCAAAGAGGGTGAGAGCCTGCTCCGCCGAACCCCCGAGGATGGAGTGAGGCGCGTAGAGGAACGGAGAGAGAAGGCAGCTGTCCTTGGGGGCGTCGGCGAGGAAAGACGAATGTAAGAACATCAGGAAAGCCAACAGTGGCCAACCAGGTGCCCGGAGGAAACCAGCAAGCAGGATCTGAGCCCAGGAGCGAGGGCAGAGACGAGCCTTCGTGGCTGGTGGCCCTCGATAGGCCCGCTCCTCCTCCTCCTCCTCCTCCTCCTCCTCCTCCATGAATTTATATGATCTTTTTGTCAAGCCGCCCAAGCTGGTGCCCCTCGCCTGCCTCCTGTGGCAGCGAGTTCCACAGTTTAACTCTTGCGCAGCGTGAAGAAGGACTTTCTTTCTGTCCCGAATCTTCCAGCATTCGGCTCCCGTTCGAGTTTCGTGAGAGAGGCAGGAAAAAACTTTCTCCAGGCCGTGCGTAATATTATAAACTTTCCCCATGTCTCGTTTTATTTGCCTTTTCTATAAACCAAACAGTCTCAAACACGCAACTTTCTCCCATAGGGGCGTCGCTCCAGCGCCTTGACCATTTTGTGGCCCTTTGCTGAACATTTACCGGCTCTACAAACAATATCCTGCGGTCGCCCCATAGAGTTGAATAATAGCATTATGATACGGGCAGCTTTATTGTCAATAATGATCCTTAGCGCGAAGGTTGCCTTTTCCACAGCTGCCGCGCGCAGAAGGCGCATCTTTACCCGTATCTCCACTAGGACCGCAACGTCGCGATCCTGGCCAGTCTGCCAGTTCAGACTCCATAAACATATGTGACATTAAGACTTTTCCAATCCAAAAGATTGGAAGACGGGACTTGTGAACCTCAAAGCAGCAGAAATATGAGAGAATTGGACCCTTCTGAGCTCGAAGCATGGGTACCCCCAACAAAAAAATTAAAAATTCGGCAAAATATGTGGACCTTATGATATGTATTGGCATAATTTGGATTAATGGATGAGACATGATTGGATTGTTAAATGGAAATTTAATAAAAATTATTTTAAAAAAAGACTTTTCGCCCCCGTGTATTGTAGACACTTGTCTACAATGAATTGCCTTTGTCGTTTTGCCGCCCATTCGCTCCGTTTGGAGAGGTCTTTCTGTAGAGATTCACAATCCCCTTTGGTTACAACGACCCTGAACAGTTTAGGGCCTCCAGCAAACGTGGCCACTTCGCCGCTCATCTATAACTCTAGGGTCGTTTGGAAAGCAGAGGTCCCGATCCTTGGGGGACTCCACTTTCTACATCTCTCCATTGGCGGCCGGATCCATTTATCCCTGCTACCAGAAACTTGGCCAACTCCTGATCCGGAAGAGGACCTCTCTGCTCTTAGAATCATGGAATTTATTCAACCCCCTGCGATGCGGGAACCGCAGCGAAAGCCGCTCCTCTTATTCCTTCACTGCTAAGCTTACACGGGAGTAGTTGGTGAGGTACTTTGTCGAAAGGCTCTTGAAAGCCAGCGGACGCTTTGAGAGTGGGGCCCGGGGCCACCCGGGGCGCGCCTGTTATTCGTTTGCAGAGTCAGGGAGGTAGCCGTGTTGGTCTGACGCAGTACCTCTACAAACGAAATAATTTTTTAAAATAATAATAATCCAGTAGCACCTTAGAGACCAACTAAGTTTGTTCTAGGTATAAGCTTTCGTGTGCATGCACACTTCTTAGTATCTGAAGAAGTGTGCATGCACACGAAAGCTTTTTTAATTTTTTTATTTCGTTTGTACACTGCCCCTCACCGTGGACGCTCAGTTTAGCCACGGAGAGACCTTAGGAGAGAGGAGATCGGGGCCGGCCCCAGGCCGCTGGGGAGCTTCGCGGCTGAGCCCGGATGCTTTGAAGCGGCTCCTCCATGTCGCAAAGACGCAGCCGCGTTAGCCTCGCCAGCCTCCGCACGCCGGGGATGCGGCGGGATAGGAGCGGCGCTCCCGGGCTTGCCTGGAGCCCAGCCAGCTGATGGGGGTAGCTGGCGCCCCTCCCTGTAACAGACTGCGGGCGTGGCCCCTATCCCTCCCCTCCAGGAGGTGCCCAGAGGCGGCGCTGATGGGCGGAGAGCCCCAGGCGGGGCGGGGCGCCCCCGATAAAAAGGCCGCGCGCGCTCCGACGGCACCCGAGACTTTGAGCTGCCAAGATGGTGTTGACCGACGACGACAAGAGCCACGTGAAGCACGTTTGGAGCGTGATCCAGGCCCACGCCGGGGACATTGGCGCCGATGCCATCACCAGGTAAGTCCGCCCCGTCGGGCAAGGACCCTCTCCCGGGCAGTGGCGTAGCGTGGGGGGTGCATGGGGGGCCGGCCGCACCGGGAGCAACATCTGGGGGGCGCTCGCACTCGCAGCTCTCTGCCCCTAGGGCAGAGGGGGCGCAAATTACTTGCCTTGCCCCGGGTGCTGACAACCCACGCTACGCCACTGCTCCCGGGGACGAGGCCGCGGGCCGGGCGGGAGCCGGACCCTCGTCTTCCTGCTCCTCTCCGCCTCCTCTTCCCGCAGGATGTTCGCGGCGCACCCCACCACTAAGACCTACTTCGCGCACAAAGACGTGAACCCCGGCTCCGCCGACATCAAGGTGCACGGCAAGAAGGTCGCGGCGGCCATCGGCGAGGCCGTGGCGCACATCGACAACATCGCCGGCGCCCTCGACAAGCTCAGCGACCTGCACGCCCAGAAACTGCGCGTGGACCCCGTCAACTTCCCGGTGAGTCTCTCTCGCTCCCCGTCGGGGCTCCGGGGCGGGCGGGATCCCTGCTTCGCTCCGTCCGGGGCCCCGTCTAACGCTCCCCCTCCGCCTCTCCCGCAGCTGCTGGGCCACTGCTTCCTGGTGTCCATCGCCGCCCACCACCCGGAGCTCCTCAAGGCCAGCACCCTCGTCTCCATGGACAAGTTCCTGGGCCGCGTCGGCGCCGTGCTGACCTCCAAGTACCGCTAGGCCCCACGAAGCCCAGGCCCGCCGCAGAGGAGCCGCCTCGACGCCGCCCCGCGACCCCCAAACCCCACAATAAACCTGCTCTTGACTCTCCCTGATCTCTCGCGTCTTCTTGGGCTGACCTGGGGGCGGGCGGGTGGAAGGGAGAGGGGACTCCGGGGCCTGGACGGCTCTGGCGAGGGAGACCCCGTCCCGCGGGATAGTCCCTACCTTGGCGCTCCTTGAACCCGGGGCACTTGGACCGAGTCGCCTGCTCGGTGGGGGCCCTGAAAGAGCCGCAGGCACGCGTGGCCTTTGCGGGACAGGGTCGCACAGTCAGCCCCAGAAGGGCTCCCTCCCTCTCCTTGGGGGTCTTCCTTCCAGTTCCCTTCGGGGGACTTGCGGGGTGGGGCTCCCCAGGCCTTTGCGCCCCTGGCTGGACTGACTGGGAGGAAGCAGACGAACTGTTCGGAAGGGCCGGTCTCGGCGCGGGGTTGTGCTCGCAGAAGGGCCCCGCCCGGCTCCGCCCAGCCCGAAAGCCCCGCGAGCCACAGCTGCCAGCCCGTGTAGGCAATACGGCCCGGGTTGGATGCAATAGAAGGCAGCTTCCTAGGATCCTGCGCTCGAGGGCAGGGGCAGCCCCCTCCCCACAGCCAAGGCCGGGGGGGGGCAGTGCCAGGGGTCCCCTCCACACCCGCACTGAGAGGGCGCGGGAAGAGGCCCGCAAGCAGGAACCCTGCCTGGGAGGGGGCGACTCGGGCTCTGAAACCACCATGAGTTCCTGAGATCCCGAGGACCCACCAGAGCAATGGCAAGGGCGGGCGCCCTCCCTTACAACGGAGGAGTGCACTTTTGGGGGTCAAGTCAAACCGTTGGAAGGTTGCAGCGCCTGCTGTGGCTGCAGAGGCCGATATGGGAGAGACTGGTCGTGCTTTGCTGCAGTTGGGGGCCGGGGCAGCGGAAGATGTCCGGCTGTGCTGCTGCAGACGCACCAAGGCATTTCTTCTCTCTGCGCTCCCCGCGGAGCTTGTTCCTCCTCTGCTCGTTGCTTTGGATGCAGACTTGTCTACCTGTCTCTGGGGAACCAGAGACCCTCTAAGAAATACCCACAGCCCCGGCAGAGAGAGGGGGCAGCTTCCCGCTCCCCTCCCCTTCCCCGCGGCTGCTGTCTGAGATGATGCTCTAAGAAGCTAAGCGGAGCCCGCTGGGATCAGGCCAAATGCCCATCTAGCTCCGCATCCTGTCATCACAGGGGCTGCCCAGGCAAGCTCCTTCCTCAGCGCCCCACGTCCGCTCGGCCAGGAGGCGGCTCCCGGGGGGCTAGTCAGGAAGGCAAACTTTCGCACCTTTGCGGCAGAACCGAGTTGGCTCTGGGACCCAAGGGGTTAACCCCATGTGGGGCCTCGGGGCAGCCGCTGGATTCCCTGCGCGCAGGCGCCCCCTGCTGCTCCTGGGTGGGAATGGCAGGAAGGACAGCCCTTTGGGAAGTGAGGCCTTGGTCTGGTGCCCCCCATCAGCTCATGCGCCCCACGGAGGGGCTGCAGAGTCCTCAGGCTAGCCGGGCGTTACCTAAAAATACCGCAATGAAGTGGAAAGTCCCCTTTACTGCTGCCTAAGCATCCTGTCTCCTCCCCTGGAGTGCTGGGCCAAAGCCTTTGGGCAAAGGAGGGCTGTGGGGGTTCCCTAGAGGCTTCCTGCCAGCGTGGAGGGCAGGTAGTGGCTGCATGGGGTTCTGTGGGGGGATTAAAGGGCTGGCAGCAAGGCTGGGGGGGGGTTGCTACTGCTGCCTGAGCCAGCAGAACTCCAGGGCAGGGCAGGGTGTGTGTATCGTGTGGCCATTCGCCTGTGTGAGTTGTGGGGCTCCGGAGATTCTTCAGAGAAGGCTGCTCTGAGCTGCAGAAGGGCAATGGGAAGGAATGGCGCTTGCCTGCTCTCCTGCCCCAGACCAGTCCAAGGGAAAGGCCGCAGCTGGGAAGCTGCCTGGTGTGGAGAAAGGCCTACGTGGGGAAGGAAGCTGGGAACTTCTGCATGCCAAGCAGCTTCTCTGTTGCAGAGCTGTGGCTGCTGACTGGCAGGCATGTGGGCAGCCACCCAAGTGCCCACGGCACAGCTCAGGCCTGGGCCGCCTCACCCTTTCATGCCAAAGCTGCCCTGGGACGCCACCAGCCAGTCGTCTCCCACCATCCTGCCTTCTCTCGCCTGCTTCTGCAGGGGATCTTCCTGGACTCTTCCCATCCTGCCAGCTTCTTCTGACTTTTGCCTTGGCCCAAGAAGTCCCAAAGGAAGATGGGAGCCTGCCAGGGGACAGGCCAGACTGGCTCATTACTGCCTTGACGGACCTATGTATCTCCAGGTTGCCATGCAGGGGGTCTCTCTGCCAGCAGGACCTGGCGATTCCTTCTGCACGCAAGGCAGGTGCTCAACCCCTGAGCTACATCCCTGCTCCCTTGCTTGACCCCTTGCTATGGCCTTAGGCACGCTTCTGCACCTACGGAGAAGTGGCCCCAATCCTGCAAGGAACCCGTGGCACCACAGAATTGACCAGGCACCCAGGACAGAGGTCCAGAAAGTAAATGCTGCCCTCTTTATTCCATCAATACAAATGTAAGAAGGGGAGGGGGGAAGAGAGCGGGGAGCAGGGTACCCGGGGGATGCCCCTCCCTTTCTCTAGGGCGGAAGGGGGCGACTGTAGGCGGCTTCTACTTCTGCAAAGACGGCGTCAAAGAACTTTTCCCAAGAGAGCTTCACGTCGTTGGTGAACTCATCTGCCAGGAGTTCTTGGAAAACGCAGAGAATGGTCTGAAACAGAAGCTGGGCAAGAAGGGCACCATTCAGCGGGTAGCTTGGGATGCATTCCCAGTGACCCCCAAGGCTCTAACCACTAGGCTCCCTTTCCAAAAGCCCCTGCTTGAGCGCCCCATAGATTCCCTGCCTGGCTCAGCCTGCAGGAGACAGCCCCAGGAGAGGCATTAAGCCTGAAGGGGGGAAAGGGCAGCGGAGGAAGCCTGTGGTTTCTCTTGTGGCAAAGGGCAGTGCTGAGGAAGCCCAGCTGGGCTCCCTGTCTGGCCCTGAGCCATTTCCCCCCATGCCGTGCCCACCTGCCCCACACCTGATGCCACCTGTGCCGGCAGGTGTGGCCAGGGAAGAACACAGTGGCAAAGGGATGCTTGCACGCTTTCATGGGGCCTCCTTGCAGGGGAAGCTGGCTGGCAGCTCCAGTCAGCTGGGGTGGCTGCGCCAGGGAGTTCCTCGCCTGGAAGGTCCTGTCTGGAGCCCCCTGGTGCCTTCAGTGAGACCTGCTTGGCTTGGCTTCAGAGCTCCCCTGAGCCAGACAGGCTCTGCGGTGAGCCCCACTGATGTGGCCCCCTGACCTCAAGGCAATGCCAGGAGAGTGGCAGGAGGTGGCCTGCTGGGGATGCCAGGATCAGACCCAGGTTCCCCCCTGTGGGATGTCTCATCAATGATGCAGTCAAGTGCAACATTTCCTGTTGCCTAGAACGGTGGACACACAGGGGAATGTGGCTCCAGACTGGGGGGGGGGACTTCCTGTCATACCTGCTCTGGAGCCTCACCCCCTGGTGTGTGACCAGGTAGATGGGCATGGCCTCAGCAGACCCTACAAAAGGGCTAGCCATGCAGGCATCTTCCTCTTTGGCTCTCTGATGGCTCTTAGCCAGCAGCACAGAGGAACGAAGCCACAAGGTGGAAAGTCTGAGGCCCAGCTCAGACTTCTTTTCTCTACAAAGGTAACTGTAGCCAAAAGATAGAGCCTGCCTTCAGAATTCTACAGTGAACTGAATGTAAGTAAACTTTACCCTTACTTTTAAACAAGACTGTTGTGTTGTTATTATTATTTTAAGCGGGAAATAAAAGGGGAAACTTACCAGCCACAATCCCGACTGGCTTGCATAACTTCAATGATTCTAACGAATCCATCAACTTGGCAGTGCGCAAGGGAATGTGCTTGCTCACTAGTGAGCGAGGAGGGAATGTTTAATCAATATATCCTCTCCTGCTTTCCTCAACATTCCCACACCCCCTATCCCCCCCCTCCTGTTGGAAGGCTCCCAGCTGCTCCGAGGGCAAGCTGCCAGCCCAGCGGCTCCTGTGTCCTCCCTGCTTGCTCGCCCCCCCCCCCATACCTGGAACATCCCTGAGGGCACTTGGTGGACGTTCTTGTGGTTATCCACCAGGCGCTCCAGCAGCCGGCAGCCCTGCTTCCGGTTGTCCAGGTTTTCAACCAGCTGGTTGAGAGCCACCATGACCTTCCGGCCGTGGGAGCCCACCTCAGGGTCCCTCAGCAGGTCGCCTTCCGTTGGGATGTTCTTGAAGTACTGCTTGCTGTCAGGGTAGTCTGTGAAGAACCTGCAGGCGGAACAGCGAAGGTTCGCTTTGAGTGCAGAGCTCGGATTTTGTACTGACCCTTTTGAGTATCGCTGCAAAAGGCTGTGTGGGGAGCAGCATTGGACCCCCTTCTTAACCCCCCCCCCCTTCTCTGGGCTGGCTGAGGAGGACAACATGGCCTCCAGGTCTGCAGAGTCTGCTTTGCTCAGGCTCTGTTCTTGGAAGGGTCTGCTGCCGGCTGCTCCCTCCCTGACCGCCCCACTTGATCCCCTGTGGATTTGGTTTGCACAGATGGTGCACTCACTCAACTCTGTCTGGTGGGTGGCAGTGATGCCCAGTGGCCTGTTTATTTCACTGGTCAAGAGGCCCCTTGACCACAGAAATCTCTGCTTCCAAACCTTGACAAAATAGCATTCACAGAAGTCTGATCTTGGTTGCCTTGCCCCTGTTCCTCCGCCACTTAATTCCAGAAAGGAATTTGTTGATGGCTTTCAACCACACACCCATCTGGGACAGGAAACTGCCTCCTGTCACTTTCTCTGCTCCTGGGAGACAACGGCACCCTTGACTTCCCCTGCCTTCTGTCTCTTTTTGTCTCTGATGTACACCCAAGTAACACCCAAAGGACCCTGAGCGAGTGGAAGAGGAGGAGGAGGAGAGGATGGTGCCCTCCATCTCCTAACTCTTTCTAAAAGCCATTCTGATCTGGCTCCAGGAGGTGCTCAGGTCTCCTAAATTGGTGAGGGAGTGAAGCAAAGGGCCACAGTGGGTTGAGGCCCATTGCCTTCTGCATGGACTGTGAAAGAGGTATGAAAAAGGCCAGGCTGGTATACAGAACAAATTCAAATATATGTAGGCTGGAGGTGCATACAGGGGGAGGGAACAACGTGGTGGCGCTGTGAAAAAACTAAGAACTTTTGGGATATTGTATATGAGGAACTAAAAAAAATCTTTAAACAAACATTTGTGAAAAAACCGGAAGCCTTTCCTCCAGGCATTCTGACAACTGATATTCCAGTTGACAAGAGGAGGGTTTTCTTACACGCAACGACAGCAGCAAGAATATTGAATGCCAAAAACTGGGAGATAAAATTCCAATGAAGGAAGAACGGCAAATCAAATTATGTGAACACTTAGAACTAGAAAAGATGACAGAGGCAATCGGAAACCAAACAAACCAAAAGTTCAAAACTGAATGGGAGTGTTTCAGAGTATATTTAGGGGGAAAAACATTGTTCCCAAACAAAATCCTTAACATGCCTTGGTTAACTTTTGCAAATTAGATAACAGACAGATAATGTACGTCATGTAACAGCAATGAGCTAAAAAGAATTAAGGGCCCGCCGGGAGGTGGAGGGAAGTCATTTTTGAAGTATGCATGTAGAAGTGTTACTTGATGTTGATTATTATTTTTCTTTATGTATGTCAGGCATCCCAAACTTGGCCATCCAGCTGTTTTGGGACTACAACTCCCATCATCCCTAGCTAACAGGACCAGTGGTCAGGGATGATGGGAATTGTAGTCCCAAAACATCTGGAGGGCTGAGTTTGGGGATGCCTGATGTATGTTAATGTTTTTTGAGTAATGAATGGAAATAACAGTACTAATAAGCAAATTTAATAAAGGATATATTTATATACATATGAAAAAGAGAAAGGCCAGGCTGGGAGAAATTGCCCCAGGCCAACCGACCGCAGCACCAGACCTGATGATAATGAGCCTGCCATTCGCTTCCGCCTCCTCAAAAGCCTTTAGCCAGCAAGTTTGAATGTGCAGCTGCTGTCGCTCTGTCAGAGGCACCATGGGCTCCAGAATGGGCAGCCTGGGGAGGGGACAAGGAGGAGGCAGGTGAGCTGGGCCTCAGGACCTTGGATTCACCCACAGACCAAAATGGACCTTTCTGCCTGAGAGCCTGGGCTTGGAGGCCAGCCAGCAGCAGCCCCTGGGACCCTGAGGGGGAGGCAGTCCTTGGTTCCTTCTGCAATTCCAGGTGGGCCTCGGTGGTGCTGATGGAGGACCTTTACGGCAAGGAGGGCAGCGGGATTGTGTGCCTAAGATTCTCCAGCTTTTTTCATCCTACTTTCATACAGAGTTTGTGCAGAGCAGTAGAAATATTACTGATACGCCAAACCTACATCAAGGCACAGTCACTGAGAGCTCCGACTCCTTTTGAATTATTGTTGGGATTGGCTACGAAGGCAGAACAGGGTCGGGAGTCCAGACTCTAAAGTATGCTAATCCTAGTGGATATGGGTACAGCAGATGGCTTAAGGCAGATGTGGGAAGCTGATTGGCAGATGACTATCAACAAAGAGGTGTGGACCTCAATGTGCAGGAGGGAATTTCCTTTTAAATCAGCCTTGGCCTCAACAAGAAAATGGCCTTGCATACCTATACAGTTAGCCCTTACTCGCTCCTCCTACTCGCCTGGAGGAGACCGAGAGGAGATATTAGAGACATCTTCAAGTATCTGAAGACCTGTCACATGGAAGAGGAAGCAAGCTTGTTTTCTCCTGCTCTGGAGGGCAGGACTTGAACCCATGGCTTCGAGTTACAAGGAAGGAGATTCTGACTCAACATCAGGAAGACCTGACAGTAAGAGCTGTACCTTTCAATTCTAATTCTATGGCTAAACTGCTGGAGTATCTCCGGTTCTAACCAAACCATGTGGTGGATGTGCGGGAAAGTGGCTCAGTTCTGGAAGGAAGCATTTGTCCAAATACAGTGGTACCTCGGATTACATACGCTTCAGGTTACATACGCTTCAGGTTACAGACTCCGCTAACCCAGAAATAGTACCTCGGGTTAAGAACTTTGCTTCAGGATGAGAACAGAAATCGTGCTTCGGTGGCGCGGCGTCAGCAGGAGGCCCCATTAGCTAAAGTGGTGCTTCAGGTTAAGAACAGTTTCAGGTTAAGAACGGACCTCCGGAATGAATTAAGTACTTAACCCGAGGTACCACTATAAAAGCAACTACCAGACAAATGCCTTTAAATGTCTGGAGCTGGCTCTCCGCAATCTTTTTACAGGAGGGAATATTAACTTACAGCTTAACCCTTTAGTAAATCTTTTTCGAGCAGCCAGGCTCATAAGAACAAGATACGGGAAGAACTTCACGGAGGTTTCTCTGACAAATTGGTTCAACTAAGTACGGCGAACTGAACTTGTGGGCGTATAAAGCAATAAAATAAAATTGCCACAAGGCTCGAGGCACAAAGATTCTCTTGCAGCTGATTGGCTCAGCTTTATTATGCACATGGCTAAATATAAACTCCCTTCACATTACAAAACTTTTTGGTTACCTTAAACAGTTTTTTTGCCTGCTATACAAACAGAATTTTTTTTATAAGAACTTACTATGCTATTTGGTTGTTATTCTGCATGTGCTGTCTAAACCCCAGCTTCTGGGTTGGGCTGAGATATTTAATGATTTATCTATATGACGTCGTTATATGTTGAAATAATACAAATTAGTTAAAAAGTGGGGACTTTTAAAAAGGACTCACACACACACAATCTGCATGGTTGCTCTGTAGAATTTGCTCCCACAAGATGTATTAATGGCCAGCAGCTTGGACAGCTTTCAAAGAGGGGTGGGGAAATTAATGGAGGATCGCCATTGGCCATTGCAGCTAGTGGCCATTATGTTCTACTTCCAGAACTGGAGCTCATTTGTCTCTGAATTCATTGTTGGCGAGAGCAGTTTTGCACTCGGGTCCTGCTGCTGGACTTCCCTTTTGAGACATCTGGTCGGCCACTGTGAGAACAGGAACTATGATGGCCTTATATTTGTGCTTCCAGATTCATGGCACTTAAGAGGGCATTGTGAAAACTTAAAATTGTGTTATGAGCTGTATGATCAAGTTCTTTTTATTCCACTTTCCAGGATGTAGTGCAGTGGTCAGCAAACTTTTTCAGCAGGAGGCCAGTCCACTGTCCCTCAGACCTTGTGGGGGGCTGGACTGCATTTTTTTAAAAAAATGAAAAGATTCCTGTGCCCCACAAATAACCCAGAGATGCATTTTAAAGAAAAGCACACATTCTACTTGTGTAAAAACACACTGGTTCCCGGACCATCCGAGGCCAGATTTAGAAGGCGACTGGGCTGGATCCGGCCCCCGGGCCTTAGTTTGTCTACCCATGATGTCGTGCATACAGTTCTGGTTACCTAAAAAATATTTTAAGGAGAGGGCAGTGGCTGGAGGAGCAAGTTCCCCAAAAGGAAAGAGAACAATTTGATTGCCATCAGGCTGAGACAGCTCAACAGGAACCACTGCTACAGTCACAGAGGCCAGGGGTGGGGAGCGGGTGTGACGAAAAAATTGGTTTTGCTGGACAGGTTTCTTTTTTCTTTCTTTCCTTGCCAGCAAATGGTTCACAAACAGCAGCCTCTGACTGGCTGCGTTTCCAGGAGGGAGAGTTTAAAAGGAGAGGATCTGAAGACAGACAGGGAGGTGTGGTTGGAATTGAGGGTGGAGAGGTTGGGAGACAGGTAGGGAGACAGGTGAGGAGACAGGTGGAGATAAAAAGAGGGAAAGGGAGAAAGAAAAAGAAAAAAAGAACTTCCTCTCTGAGCGTATTGTGAAGGAGTGTGTGTGGTGTCCTGTAGGAGGAATAGACCAGGATTTTACTGGGAGGCAGAGGTTGAGCCAGGAGAAGTAGGAGCTGGAAAGGAACAGCCTCCTTGGGACTCAATCCAGTCCGGAGGGGAGAGAATCTTCTAAGGAAAAGAAGAAATTCTCAAACCCAGTGAAAGGAGAGAGCCCTTGGGGCTATTACTTAAAGTACTTCGGGAGCTGGATTGTTAAAGGGGGTGGGTAACTGAAAGGAAGTATCACCTTATAAAGCAGGCATGGCCAGACTCAGCCCCCCAGAATGTTTGGGGCTACAATTCCCATCATCCCTGACCACTGGTCCTGTTAGCTAGGGATGATGGGAGTTGTAGTCCCAAAATATCTGGAGGGCCGAGTTTGGCCATGCCTGTTATAAAGGAACCAACTTATAATGCAACCAAAAACAACTGAGGACAAGTTAAATAACCTAAGTTTTTTGCACTTGTGTTATATACGATCTTACCAATAATAATAATAATAATAATAATAATAATAATAATAATAAATTTTATTTATATCCCGCCCTCCCCAGCCGAAGCCGGGCTCAGGGCGGCTAACAACAATAAAACAGTACAAAAGTACAGCATAAACAACATTCTAGAATAATTCATTATAAAATTAATTAAATAAATCATTATTGTTTATTTAAAGAAAACCCACCTGAGACTCCAACTTACTAGTTATCCCCTCACAACGGTCCCCCACAGGATAATCTGGGTTAGAATTTTGAGAGAGAAAACCTTCAGGTAAAGGGTTGTTCCGTGAGGTGGGGGCAAATTATCTGAGTGAGACCGGGCCCAACGGCTTGAGAGGGAAAAGTAGCTTGCTGTGTTTGTGCTATCGTTGGCAACTGCCTTGAACATCACTCGTCATGGGCTTGACTTACTAATAAAGTATACCTGCTGCAGGTATTTCTGTTAGATCAGGGCCCTCTTGTATGATGCTTGTTACCCATGTGGATTTTAATGAATAGCACAAAAGGTTATGAGTCACAGGGTGGGTGGGAGATGCCATGGATTTAAAAAAGAGTACATTCGTAGGGTTTAGCTTATCTTTTAGTTGCTAACTTGTTAATATTGCTTCATAGATTATAAATGTCTACTTGGTGATCTGTTAATCACATGACCTATGCTGCATTTATGATGTTTAGCTTATTTTTTAGTTGCTGGTTTGATAATGGTGCTTTCATAGATTACAATTACGTTACGGACGATTTTCCATTTCCATTCCATTGCTGTACTTCTGTTATTGTTATGTAGTGTTTGGGTAGAAAATGGCACCCAGTTGGCAACTTTAGAGTCTGTTTAGAAGAAAGGCAAGTGACATGGACATGTTCCCCCCTCTCTTCTGTAATAAATAAGAACTTGGGGCTACTCAATAAAACTGATTGGCAGCAAATTCAGAAGAGAGGCAAGTTCTTCTTTAGGGAAGTTCTTCCCTGTTTAGGGAAGTTTTTAATGACTGATGTTTTGATGTATTTTTAATCTTTTGCTGGAAGCTGCCCAGAGTGGTTGGGGAAACCCAGCTAGATGGGCGGGGTAAAAATACTACATCATCATCATCATCATCATCATTATTATTACTACTACTACTGCTACTTCTTTACACAATGTGCCATTGGTGCGATCTATCTGCACGGGCTCCCTTGGCTTAAAAGGCGAGGAGTCAAATCCACGGAGAAGCGCTCTCCGCAGCGCCAGGCAGGCGTCTCAGTGGAGCCTCCCTGCTCGGGCGCAGTCCACCTGTTCGGCTCCCTCCCTTCCCGGGCCCGGCCCCCCTACCCCACTCACTCGGGGGGCGCCCTGGATCCGGAGCGCCCGGGGGAAGCCATGCCTCTGCCGGGCCCGGCCTCGCTCGCCCACCACCGAACTTTCGACCGGCAACGGCCGCGGGGGGGGCGGTTGGGGGGCGCTTCGCGAGGCGCGCCGGGGAGACGCTGCCGCTCGCCATGGGGGGTGGGGTGCAAAGCCCCCCGGGGCTCCCGTCGGGGGCGAGCCGGGGGAGGCCCCTTAGGACCCGCTGTCGCGGGGCTGCCCCCCAAAGGGCCAGGGGGCTCCGCGCAAGAGGCGCACGCGCGCCGGCTTCCCGGCGAGGCCCCGGGGATGGGCCCCTCGGCTGGGGGCCCGGGGCGGAGAGGAGGGCCGGGGGCGCCGCGCATCCCTCGGTCCCGGCAGCGGCCTCTGCGGAGCTCCCTAGCTGCGGAGCTCCCCGTCCCCGGGCGGTGCGGCGGTGCCAGGCACGGCGGCGGCGGCGGCGGCCGGTGGCTCGTGCCCGTGTCCGGGAGGAGGGCGGGGCGCAGCCAGCAGCAGTAGCAGCGGCCGAGGCGCGCGCCCGCAACCGCCTCCCTCCCTCCCCCTCGGGTGTCCCCGTGACGTCAGCGCCCCGCCAGGGCCGGCCCGGGGCCTCCGCGGACGATGGCGACGCAGGAGGGCGAGGAGGAAGGCGCTCCGGGCTGAGGCGCGCCTGCTGCTGCTGCTGCCGGCTGTCCCTGGCCCCGGGGGCCGCCGCGGCTGCCATGGCGCCCGGCCCGCTGGTGCTGGCGCTGCTGGTGCTCCTGGCCCCCGCCGACCCCTCGCCGCCGACGCCGCCCGCCAAGGAGGCGCGGAGCAGCAACGGCGGAGGTCCCGACGGTAAGTAACGGACGGAGGCAGAGCCACTTCCCGGAGCCGCACTGCGGAGGAGCGGGACGGAGTGGCACTCTGCGCACGCCTAGAGGACCGCGGCTCCGACGCCTTCTGCCCGGGGGTGTGTGTGGACCGTTTCCCTCTTGCTGACCCGACAGCACTGAAGAGAGAGAGAGGGGTTCCCACTTTCTACAGGGGCCGCCCCCCCCCAGCTTTGGATGCGCGCTCGAGTTTGAGCCCGAGGAGGTCCCGTTCAGCCCGGGCGCAGGTGGCCTTGAGCGACCTCGGGGAGAGGCCCGCGGGCCGCCCCGTCTTCAGTCTTCCAGCGTTTGCCTCGAACCCCGGCCCCTTTTAGCCCCGGAGCCAGAGAGAAGGCGCTTGTGGGGTCCCCAGCAGTCATTTGGCGAAAGGGCCCCCTCCCGTCCAGCCCCCCTTCCTCGGTTTGCCTGGGGGGCCGCCGTGTTTTCGTCTCCCACTTGGGGAAACGGAAGGTTCGTCCGGTTCTGGCTTGGGGCGGGGGGCGGTGCCGCGATGGAAAAGCGCCGCTGCCAGGCTGGGGCGGCGCCCGGGTCACGGAGTCCTTGCTTCGCCCGGGGAGGCCGATGGCGCAACGCCCGCTTCCCAGTTACCCGCCGGGCAGCCTTTGCCTTCCCAGCGAATGGCGCGGGCGGCGGGGCGGGACGTTGGCTGAGCATCACTTGTGCGCGTGGAAAAGCGGCGGAGGGGGTCTCTCTCCTCGCCGGATGAGCGTCGGGTGGCTGGACCGGTCAGGCAGGCTCCCTCCCTCCCTCCCTCCCGCCCGGCGGCCAGCCGGCTTGTCCGCATTCTCTCGCGTGTGCGCCTTGACCCAGCGCCCCCTGCTTCCTCTGCCTTGGGGGCGCCCCCTCCGCGCCCCTGTGGGAACCAGCAACCCCCCCCAGCGGATTCCTTTCCTTTTAGGGTCGGTCAGCTGAACCTCCACTTGATCTTGTTGTGTGAGGGGCTGAGCTCCTGGCTGCCTCTGTGCTGAGCTTGGGGTGCAGGGGGTTGGCATGGCACATCCTGCCCCTTCCCCATCCCTGCCCATCACACCTTTGTTTGTCAGTCACTGCGCTGTGCGCTCAGCAAACAGGCAGGTGCCTGGCACCCTGGTCCCCGTAGGCCAATCCCCTGGGCTTGCCGGCTCAGCCCTTTCAGGAAATGCCAGTCCTTGTGGCAGGCTGTGTGCCAAAGTCCACAGCTCTCGCTTGGCAGAGCTGCCTCCCCATGACCTCTCCTCTCCTGACCTCCCCTTGACCTTGCTGCACAGCAAGGCTGGGCAAGACCTTCCTGGTCTTCAGTGGGAAGGGGCAGGCAGCAGCCCAGCTTCTATTGCCTGGAGGCCAAAGAGCTTCTATTGCCTGGGAGCTCCTTGTGGGAAGCCAGAGACATTGAGGGGGGCACTGCCCGCCCCTTCATGCTGCTGCACTTGGCAGAGACTTGGGGGGGGGGACTGGCTGCTGATGCCCCTGTGGTGGGAAGCACCACCTGCCCAAGGCTGGCTGGACCTGAATTCTTTCCCCTGCACAGTTCCTGACGCCCTGCCCCCTACTCTCCCCCGCAGACCGGTCCTTTGTGGCGGAGTATTTCGTCCAGGGCGCCCAGAAGCTCTCCTTCTACAGCTGGTATGCCAACGCCCGGCTCTTCCGCTTCCGCGTGCCAGAGGATACCGTCCAGCTGCGCTGGCTCCTTCAGGCGTCCCAGGGAAGGGGTCCCGACTGCGGCAGCACAAACGTCACCATGTGCGTACCTACCCCCCCTTCTCCCTGGGAGCTCAGCCTGCCGGCTTCCTCCTGGAAAGAGGGTGGCCGTCTCCCCTCCTTCTGCCCCACTCACCCCTGTGTCTCCTGCTGCCTTCCAGCCACTTCCGCCACGGTGCCCCTCCTGTCATCAACCCCCTGGGCACGCAGTTCCCGGCCAACACAAGCGTCCGCCTCGCCTACAATCTGACCACGACTCTGGCCACTCTGGTGCAGAACACCACCTTCGTCAATGTCACAGGACCTGCCGCAGGCGACTGGTTCATGGTGGCCCACCTGCCCAAGGCCGCAGGGAAGATTGAGGTGAAGGTGAGAGCAGGCTGCTTCCTTGGCTGGAGTCTGTGGTGGGAGGGGGGGACGGACAGGGGAGGATCCTGCAGCTGCTGCATTGGGACTTGGCTGTGCCCGACCTGGCAGTTTCTGGAGGATCTTCTGCTGTGCCCAGGGCTGCAGGTGGAGGCCCCTGAATGTCCTCTTGTGCCAGGTGCGGCCTCTTCCTGCCAGCCATGGTGGTCCAGGAGGCTGGCAGTGATGCGTCCCTCCTCCCTCCCTGCAGGGCATCTCAACGCCATGCACCTACAGCTTCCAGCCGGACATGTTTGTGCTGCGCGTCATCGACTCGCTGATTCTTGAGCCCGACACTCCTGCGCAGCAGACCATTGCCCAGCCCGCCAGGCCGCTTCATGCCAAGTGAGTTAAAGCAGGCGAGAGGGTGGGCCCGGTGAGTGCCCCCCATCTCCCTGGGCACCAAGGCCTGCCATGTCCTGGCCAGCGGGAGTCAACTGCTCCCCCCTCTCTTCCCCCCTGCAGGATCTTTGTCCCCAGCTACAGTGCTGCGCTGCACTTTGAGCTGGGCGGCTGCAAGGTGAACACTTCAAGCCCCTGCGCCCTCCGTGTCACACTGGGCTCTGCCACGCTGCCTTCGCGCTCCCAGAAGGTGCTCAACTGCTCCGGGGACTGCAGTGGCGTCCTTGCTTCACCACCGTGGGAGAAGTGGCTGCCCATCACAGTGGAAAGCCTCAGCGGCCCTGGGACCAGCGTCTCCTTTCAGCTGAAGGCCTCCTTCACAGGTGTGTGCCAGCTGCGAGAGGGGGGGGGCAAGGGCAGGGTGCCAAGCTGTATCAGCTCGCCAGTTCCTGAGTCTCTGCTGTGGATGCCCTAGCTTTGGGTCAGGGGGTGGGTTGCCCTGCCCTGCAGCCTTCTCGTCCTGAGGCCCTCGCTGACCTTGCGCCGTGTCTTTTGCAGTGTGCAAGCCTGACAGGGCCAGCTCCTTCCTCAGCTTCTATCACAGCCTGAACCGGAGCCAGGAGGCACCTTTGCCGGGAGGAAGTCCCAACGCTACCCTGCTCACGGGAGCCGGGGCAGCGCATAACCCCCTTGGCCAAAGCAGCCGCTGCCTGCGCAACCAGCCTGTCATCCGCGAAGACCTGGACGTGGTGTCTCTGCATTTTCGTGTCCTTGGAGACGTTGGTGTGCCTGTGCAGGCCGAGCCCCCGGCTTTGCTCCTCTTCAACCTGAACTCGGGCATGGACAGCGGGGGGACCCTGGTGCTGAATCTGGCCCTTAACCAGGTAAGAGGGTTGACCTGGCACTGCCCCTCTTGGGGCACTGAAGCCGGACTGCTAGGGGAGAGGCGCCAACTGAGTCTCTTTCCTGCTTTGTCCTTGCAGACCGACTGGAGCCTTGGGAATGCCTCGGTGTGGGCCTGCTTGAGTGCCAGCTCCCCTGTGCTCTCTGTGAATGCCACGAGGGGCTGCCACACAGGTATGGTTCTCTGCTTGTTGCACCCGAGCTCTGGGAGGGCATTGACACTGGCAGGCTGGGTGCTGGTTGCTGACAGAGTGTGGGCACTAACGGAAGGCCTGCCTCTCTTCCCTGCCCCACAGCTTTCTCCCAAGGCTATCCGCTGAACGTATCCACCTCTTCTCCAGACGCTACACTCATCATCCCGTACCCAGAAACGGCCAACTGGTTCCTGTCCCTGCAGCTCCTCTGCCCGGAGGGTGTGGGGTGAGTCCTGTCACTCTGGTGCTGCTAGCCATACGGCCAGGGCTGGGCCTTTGCTGCAGTAGCGGTGGCAGAAAGGCCTCTGGAGCCAGGGTTCCTGAGCATCTCTCAGGCAGGGGTTTCTGCCACCTGGTCCTCACCTTGCCTTGGGCCTCTCTGCCTTTGCGTGTTGGTGCCAGGAGGGCTCAGCGTCCTTGGCGGCACATGGGCTCTGTCTCTCTCTCTCTCTGCAGGGAATGTGACAAAGCCAAAGCCCAGGTGTCTGTTGTGACCTTGCTCAGCCCCTGCTTCGATAATTGCGGGACGTATGGGCAGTGCAGCCTCCTGGGCCGCAGTTACCCTTATGCCGGGTGCAGCTGCAAAGCGGGTAAGAGCTACTCTGGAATGCCTGGGGCCGAGGCCACCAGGGCCTGTCCCTCCTCTACCTTCCTTTCCTCCCCTTTGGCTTCCTTCCCTGGGCAGGGCCAGCCATAAGCAGCACCTGTTCTCCTCATGCCTCACATGCCCCAAGCCCAGAGTGAAAAGGCCACGGGGTGGTATCCTGCACACCGGTCAGCCCCTTAGAGAGTGAGCCTAGCTGGAGGGGGCCCATCCTGGGGGCTCTGGGGGATGCTGCACAAGATGGCAGCCTTAAGGATGGGCACTCCACTTCCCACCTGGCAGAGGCTGCGTTGGCGCAATGGGCGTTGTTCTTTTGATGTGATGCTCCCAACAGGTAACCCTGCCTCCCCTTCCTCCCCTGGCAGGCTGGAGCGGCTGGA